CTTGAGAAATAATCCAGGTAAAGAGCAGTCAGGGACTCATGGGACTGGCAAACAGCAAGATGTATGGAGGGCGAGAGATCCATGGAGGGATGGCTCCCAGCAGATAAAAGATCTCAGACAATCCAATTAGAGAGGATCATTTTTACTCTTTCCTCTAAAATTTGAACCTGGAAAAATGTCACGTTTCTGTTTCTGCACCTGTCTTGTAATTACAAAGGAATAGCCAATCTGAAAGTGGAGCCAACAAGGCAAAAGTCAGAGCTGAGAAAAGGAGACTGAAGCAAAGGTCGACCTGAGTTATGGGTCAACTAGACCCTAAAGCCAGCTCTTCCTCAAGACTTTTCAGTTATACGAGCTAATTACATTTTCCTTCACTCACAGCTGAAAGAGCACTGACTGATTTGGCATTTGACATACACTGTCTCGCTGCAATAGCCCTATAAAGGAGGTATTATTATCCTGACCTCACTGAGCAAAATGTGCATCATGGAGATTAACTTGCCCAGTATCACACCCTGAATAAAGCAGAGCCATGTCTGCTGATGGCCAACTCCAGGCTCTTAACACTTAGAGCCTTAGTTCTCAAACCTCAGTGCACTTTAGAAACGCCAAAACCCACCCCAGACCTAATGAATCAAAATCTCTGTGGCGGAGCATAGAGAATATGCCTTTCTAAGTTCTTGGGTGATTCTGATGCGGGGCTCATGGACCACTTGTTAAGAAATATTTGCCTCAGAAAAAGACATGATTTCAAGGATGGTGCTGCCTGCTGTTGTGATGCTGTGTCCTTATTAAAAAGCTTTGCTTCTGGAAGATAACACCTGAAGCTTTGTCAGCGATGTAGACCACAAATCAGAGGCAATCCGTTTCTGAGAACTCTGTTGGGAGAAGTGGGAAAAGTCAGAAAGCAAAGGGTCCCAAGCTGCGGGAGAAGGGTGGGAAACAGGAACTTAGAGGGAAAACGGAGTCTTCAAGTTTTATTTCCACAATTATTACCTGAGAAGTTCCTTTTTGTTTAATTAATTAGGGTGTGTGTGTGTAAGTTCAGATCCCCCAGAGTTTATACGTGGGGAGACTTGAGAGTCTTTTGAAAAAAGACATCTGCTTGATTTGCTAGTTACGGTGGCTCATTGGACATGAGGAGAGTGTTTAATTTAATTATTGACCTCGAATAGACATTTTGCCACTGCCAATAATATTAGCTAGATTAACAAATTGTTCAAGGGTGTTAGAGACAGAAAGAACACAGTGAGAGCTATTGTCCATCAATATTTGGACAGCCTTTCCCAGAACAGTCATGTAAGTTCACATGCTATTGTGAAATATTTTCCTGCTTGTCTATCGTGTCTTAGATTTCTCTCTCTCTCTCTTGAAATTCAAGTGGAGTATTAGTTGTCTTTTGACACAGGTATTATTATTGTGAAAGTCAGAGCTATTTCTATACATGATATCCTACAGTGTCTCCATACCGTGTCCTCCTCCAGGTGGACCCTAATACATAGTAAGTCTTTCTTAAGTTTTTAAAGCCGCAAGTACTTGAGGTCTTCGTCTCTGTGCACATAGACAATGAGAAAGTGTGTCGCGCTGAACTGACTGCAGACATATAATATGTTAGCTGATGGCATTTCCTACTTCTTGTTTCCCTTTACACATCTCAAAATCGGAGACTCGAATCAATCTGGCTTAAGACACATTTGTTTTTAGAGTTTTAAGATCATTATTATTCCAAAGAATTTTGGTAGCATGCCTGTAGTCTGTCTTAAATGAGTGTAATATTTCCAGCTTTTGGCTGCTAAAATTGAGTTTTAATATATGTTTTGACAATAATTGAGTTCATCATCAAAGTGAACATTTTACCAAAAGACTTTCTAAAGATTATGTCTCCTTTTTAAATGATGCTCTACTCTACCCAACATTTGCCGAGCAGGTATTTTGGTATTTTACTTTGAATTGGTTACTTCGGTTCAGAGGCCTCCTCAGCTATGTCAATCATTGTAGAAACACCTTCCTTTTATTTATAGCTGAAATCAGAAGCTGGACTGTATCTGATTGTCTTAACACAGTCCTTTCATGAGTGTATTTACTATAATATGCTGTCTCCAGATATTTAACAAAATAATAAATGATCACTTACAACATTATTTCTGTACCTGCCTTCCCCTCGGAAACCCAAGTCACAATGTTGAACCTGTTTGCCTTCTTTTAAAGCCAACAAACTGAACGTGTTGAATGAAAAGCCAGATATCCAGCTGAATATGTGGAAGAAGTTCTCATTAGCTCAAAGGTGTATGGCGCAACAAACAAGCAGCATAGATTTTGCAATACTTTATGTTTTAAGCCCACACCATTGTAAGGATTATGTGAAGGTCTCTGAATCATCTCAGTTGAGAGTACCTAACCTCTCTGAAGCGGTACATTGGAACAAGGAAGGGAGTGAACAAATTCTGCAAAAGACAACCCTGCTACGAAAATGTTTTTTAGAAGACTGATATAAATATGACTTCTCTATGATTTGTTTAAAATAAGTTGGAAATGTATCACAATTTTTTAAAAAATGCTTCTTCCATAATATTCTCCAGTTGAATTCCTTGCTTTTTTTCTCAGCCAAAACCATACATTCAGCATTTTGTACAACAGTCAGGGTTAAATTGGATGAGGCATCAAAGGTTTCCAAACATGGTCCTTTTTGGGGGATTGCGAAGATGGCCTGGGAAAGTCCACCCCGGGAACACAGAAGTCACCTGTAAGAGAGATTATAGTGCACAGACATGAAACTGGTACATTGCAACTTCCCGCTTAAATCAGTTTCATTGTCGTCTCTCACCCTGAGAGAGGCTCAGCACCTTAGGACAGGGCAGGGCTTGTCTCATCTTGTAGGCAGTGCACAAAGGCTTGGCAATCCAGTGAGGAGGTGGGAATGGGGGGGCGTCACAAAGATTAGCTAAATCCTTTTTTCCTGCTTCAGCACATCAAAGGCTAAGACTGAAAGACTCAACTCCAATATTTTCCCTTTAGTGTAAAGAGGATGTGGGCGTGTGGAATGTTCCTGAGAAGTGAGGTGGACAAAGGTAGGGAGAGATGCAAAAGACCTGAGACAAAGCCACAGGAAAAAGATACCAGACAGAGGAGATCCTGAGAGTCACCTGTTTAGAGCCACGGAGATTCCTTCTAGCAGCTGAGCTAAGAGGCTCACCGTGGGCAGCCTGGGGCAGGGTGGGTGGAGGCTGGGGTAGAGCACCTGGCTGTATAAGGGCTGGGAAGGCTATGAGAGGGCTGCAGCCCACAGGAGCTGAGATGCAGCCTTCACCAAGCTAAGAGGCTCCAGAAGCTGCAGATTTCAACAAATTGAAACTCTGAAGCATCCAGATGGATAACCGGCCTGGCACCAGAGAGCAAGGGACAGAGAGGGCCCCTTTCCCAAGGACCCCACCTCATCCTCTCCTCCACTAGGATGCATAAAGCTTCTTCCCAATATTGACTCTCAACAATTTTAGGGATGACGAAAGAGGAAGAGGAGGTTAGCCAAGAGACTGTCTGACTTATTTAAATGAAATTTTCTGAAAATGGCTACATATGTAAATTATCAGCCCAATTGGATGTTTGAACATTTATTTAATTTTTCCTTCCGGCTAACCAGGCAGAATAGGCTTGGAATAATGTTCAAATTAAAACCAAAATAACAAATTATGTTTTCTCTGCACATCTAAGTTATGAGTTCAATTTGCCATATTGCTACAGCTTTTAAAAATAATCAAAGAAAAAAAAGACAAAAGTCCAGCTATCCTTAGCCATATTGAGATAACGTATAGAACTTTTTTTTTTTTTAATGTATATAACTTTAAAGCCTAGAGCTACAGGGCATGTGCAGGCATTTGAAACCCCCATCCTCCACTTTGTTCTGGAATCACTCCTGTTGTCTTCTTGGAAAATATTCCTTTCCACTCATTTTGCTGTGAAAATGAAACTGCTCTAAAAGGTATTCTGTTAAACAAAAACCAAAAAAACTCCTCTAATGCCTTCTTAAATTCTTTCAGGGATGGAACCGGCCCTCCTTGAAGAAAGCATAAAATAATGTCTTTGTTCTTTTATGCTGAAATCTGATTTTTCTATTTCTTTTATCCATTGCCCTCTGGAACACTTTTAGGCAATCTCCCCCACATCGCTTTTTTTTCCCTTCCCTTCCATTATCTTCCTCTGGGATGTAAATCAGCAATTACTTAGCTCCCACAACGAAGTCTGAGGTCATAAATGAGGGCAGACAGTAATTTAATCTGTGAGAGATTGAGATGTTATCTAGTTAGTTTGGTGACAACAGCAAACCACAGAGAGTGCAACCAGAGGCACTGCTTCCTATTCATACAGGGTCAAAGTGTTTTTTTTTCTCCGACTCTGAACTAACAGACTTCTCTTTTTAAAAAAATAAAGTATAATCTCAATCTTGGCAAAATTTCCAAAGGTAACCTGAAACCTTGCTTCTTAAAATCTAAATGAAACATAAAGCAAGACATCGTGTGTGTATTTTCAAGCAATCCATTGAAAGTCAAATGGCAAAGTCAGACAACGTGCAACAACATAATACATTTGTTTATTTAGTTAATATTACAATGGTAACAGGTTAAAAGCACTAGACTTGTCTCCTCTTATGAGGGTGATTTTAATTTGTAAATTTCACTGTTCTTAACCATTAAAAATCTATTTTGCAAAGGAATAATAATATATATTATTATTAAGGGACAGATCTAAACTTTGTGATTTATGACCAAAAGCATATGTGTTCATTAAACAAAACATTAGGGACATTTTAACTCTTGGTTACTGCTTTCAGGAAAGCACAATGTTCTTGAAGCAAATAGACACGAAATATCTTTTTCCATAGTGATTTCAACCATTGCGTATCATGTCAGCGAGAGAACCTGAGAACCCCAGAGTTAGTGTCTCCCAATGATTGTAATACACTCTGGTTTACTTAAATAATCAGCCAACGCGCATGTATTTTGTGCCTACTGTGTACAAGCCAGTATACAAAGCAAGACAGAAAATACAAAGTCAAATTATTGGTCCTTGCCCAGCTCAGGCTTCCAATGTAGTTGGTAAGATTAAACATAGACACAAATTACTCTACTTTCAACGTCCTCAAAAGAAGTGACGATGGTAACTAGATCATACGTTAGAATCACCTATGCTGGAACCTAGAGGGAGCAGGGGCATAAGCAGGGACATCCTCAGCACTGATTAAAGTCTGTCTGAATCAGATTTCTCACTTCCGGGTTTGAGGGCTGCTTGAACCCTTTATTTGAAAACCTGAAAGTGTTCTGAAAGCCAGCCTCGCACCCGTCCCTGTCAGTGGCTGCATTTGGCAATTATTTCAGGGACTCATGACAACAGAGCACGATAAACAAATATGTATAATACGGTGATGCTGAAAGCTAGGAGTTCGGGACTGTCCACTCTGCAGGGGAGGAGGCAATCCCACCTTATTTATTTATTATGACAAACAAGGGACTACATAAGAAAAGTATGAAAAACTCTCCAAACTTCACTGGACCCAAGCCAAACTAGAAAGGCTGGAGGAAAGGAGAAGAAAAGATGGCCCACCAAAGAGGCGAGGTTTTGAGGGGGCGTCGGGGAGAGAGCCTCCCCGCACGCCACCTCCACCCCCACCCCCAGTGTCCTGAAGAAAGGCCCTGGGCTAGCCGAGTAGCGGAAAGAAAAGCAGAAACGCGTGTCCAAACACCACAAATAAATAAATAAATATGTTAAACGAGAAAATAACTTAGTAGGCACCGCTGGAAAGGCAGCTCCCCTTAGGCGCCCGGCAGGCCGCGCTCTCCAGCCTGCGGGCGGCGGCGACGCGGTCGGGATTGGCCGGGGACCCGAAAGCGCCCCCCGAGGTCCCTGCCCGAGTGCCGCGTCTTCTAGGTAAACCGGAGCAGGAAACCGAGTCTGTCGTCACTCTCAGATCTGCACCCCGGAAGCCTCGGCGAGGGAGAAAGCCCGGGGTGTCCGCGGCCACGCTGCTGCCGCCGGGAAAACGCGCCCCGCCCCGCCCGGCCGCGCGCAGACCGCTGTCCCGGGAGCGCCCGGCGCTTGGTCTTTGAAACCAAAAGCGCCGGTTGTGACCCCCTGGGAGGGTGGCTTCCATTGCAACCCCTTCCCACCCAAACCCCAGAATCTTCTAGAAACCCCTCGGTCGCTTGTTCTCAGCTCCTTTAGCTCCAAAGGGAGATTTGAATGGGGGCTGCAGAATGCCTGGCGTTCGAAGCGCGGGAGTGATTTTTCTAAGCCACTCGCTCGGCTCTGGGTGGAGCGGGAGTGCTGGAGAGGGTCGGGCAAGGGCGCTTCACCGAGGAGGAGAAAAGACCAGCTGCCTCGTTCTTTCTCAAGTCCGACTTCCCTTCAAGTAGGGCTGAGCAGAGGGAGAGCGCTGGTTCTCCAGACTCCGCTAGGGGCACCAGGCAGAACAAGGCGAGGGGCGGGGCAGGGCAGGGCGAGGCTAAGGGGAAGCCGGGGACTCACCCCGAGGGAAACCCGTGGCGGTAACCGTGGCTCAGCTTAAACAGAAATTACTGCTGGAGAAGCTGAAGGTCAGACTGAGTTGGCGACGTTGATGAGTTCCTGATCTGCACCGGCGGGACCCGCGGAAGGAAAGATCGAAGTTACAGAGTGGGGAGCACGGAGGGGTGCAGAAGGGCAAGCGCAGTAGAGGGAGGAGCGAAAGCAGGAGACAGAAGAGAAAGGGGCCCTCAAGGCTTCCCAGTGTATAAGCAAAGTGCCCAGTTCCACCTTTGTTGCGCGCCTTTCCCAGGTCTCTCCACCCAGAGCGCACAGTGTCCCAGCCCCACAGCACCCTGAGGCACCGGATACTTTCACCTCTCGCACCCGGTCTCCCTTTCCCTTCATCTTCCCCCTCCCTTGGCGCAGGGCCCCTGGAAGGCCCAGGCTCAGAGCGTGGTGATCCGCGATGTGCAGGTGCCATTACGGAAGACGCCTCCAGACTCCAGGTTCTCCGGCTGGAAGTCCTCCACGCTGTAGGCGCGGCTCTTGAGGGCCGTGGCATAGTAGTCGACCGGCTCCTCCACAGCGTTGTCCATCCAGCTGAGACACAGGATGCGCTGGAAAGAGCGCTTGAAGTTGTCCGAAAGGAAGCCGTAGAGGATGGGGTTGGCGCAGCTGTTGGCGTAGCCGAGGATCACCGACAGCTGGCTCACCGTGGCGTCGTCCTGCTCTGCGAACACGTTGACCAGCTGTACGACATAGAAAGGCATCCAACAGATGACAAACACCATCACCACCATCATCACCATCAGGGTGATCTTGCGCTCCGAGCGCTTGCGCTGCTGCCAGCCGGCCTTGAGGGCCACCATGCGCATTTTGGCGATGATGAGCACGTAGCACAGGCAGATGGCCCCGACTGGCAGCAGGAAGCCCATGAGAAATGTGTACAACACGAAGCCCACCAGCCAGCGCTGGGCAGGCTCCGGCATGAGCATGTTGCAGGCCACCGTGCCATCACTGTTGGCCGCGGTGCGCGAGAAGACCACAATGGGCAGGATGACAAGTAGCGATAGCACCCACACGCCCAGATTCACCACCTTGGCCACGGTGGGCCGGCGGTAGCGCGCTGCCTTGATGGGGTGCACCACGGCCACGTAGCGGTCCACGCTAAGCACAGTCAGACAGTAGATGCTGGTGAACATGTTGACTGCGTCCACGCTGAGCACAAGGCGGCAGAGCAACGCGCCGAAGGGCCAGTGGCGAAGCAACGTGGAGGTGACCAGGAAGGGCACGCTGAGCATGAGCAGCTCATCGGCGATGGCCAGGTTGAGGATGTAGATGTTGGTGGCCGTCTTCATCTTGGCGTAGCGCAGGATCACGTAGATGACCATGGAGTTCCCACACAGCCCCACCAGGCACACCACGGAGTAGATGAAAGAGATGAGGATGGCGCTGCCCTGGCCCTCGCTCAAGGTCCCGTTCTGGGACGCATTCCGCCCCGGTTCCTCCATGCCGTCCGCAGCTCCGGCCCCGGGGCCCCTGCTGCCGCCTCCTTCGCCGCAGCTGCCCGGGCTGGGGCTAGGAGAGGAGGGAGAGGAGGCGGTGCCATTGGGGAACATCTCGGCTGATGGGGGCCGATGAGGCTGGGGTGCTCTCTTCGCGCCCCCGCTGCTTGCGCCCTCACTTGGCACCCCGGCTGCCGGCTCGCACCTCACTGCCGCCGGGTGCTTCGGGGGAGCGCGCAGCGGCTGCAGGGAGCGCGGCTCCAACCCACACCGGCGGGGCGCATCGCCCAGAGGCTGCCTGCGCCCAGCCGCTTGCCGCTCCGGGGCGCCTGGGCACACGCGAGCGTGGAGAGGGGAGGCTGGGAGGCTGGAGCCCCGCGCGGCACAGCCATTAACTAGCGCGGTCCTGGGCTGGTGAATGATTAATAGGTACCACCAGCACGTCAGCAGCTACGAAAAGGGAGGGGGGGGGGAGAAAAAGAGGGAGGAAGGCGATATGGGTGCTTTATCACCCCTCGCCCAATGTTTTTCCTTCCCAGTCCTGCGCTAGGATCAACCCGAGCAGCTGTTTCCGGGGTTCCCCTGCAGCACCCTTTACCCGCCGCTCAGGGGGACCCGGGGCGTTTCTCCGCCTTCCTGGAGGATGGGTGGGAACCAAAGATCTGGATCCCGTCCCATCCCACCCGGCTCTTATCCAAAGCAAAGAATGAAGCAGACCCCAGGCACAGATGTCTGGAGTTCATCTCAGTTTCCCTCAGTTGCTGCCCTGCCCTAAGGGACCCCAACTCCGCTCTGGTCCAATCGTCCCGGGCCCTAAACCTCCCGCCTCTGTCCCTGCCGGCCGTGCCCCTCAGACCCGCCGCGGAAGCTCCCGGTCCTCCTTACCCAGGGCACGCTACCTCCAGACCGACGCGTAGATGGCGCGTGCAAAGTGCCCGGGCGGTCTGGTAGCGCGGTGACGTTCTTTGCAGGGTCCAACTCCTTTCTTGGGGCCGGACCCCGCACGGGCGCCCACGCAGCTACTCTTGGAGTCACGCAAACTGACCCTAAGCCGCGAGCGTTAGGAGGAAAGACCACAGCCGCGCAGGAGGGGCTTCTGCGTTACCACGCCGCGGGCAGCTCTTCTCGGGCGGGAGCGTTCAAGGGCCTGAGTAAACCATTGCGAATCTCTTAATAAAGCTTGTCGGGCCCAGAGCCCCCTGCGTCTCCCGGAGGAATATCGACTGCAGAAAGGCGGACGCGCGGCTGGGAGCGCGGAAGGAGCCTGGGCGCCCTCCCCACCGTGCCCGGCGCGGTATTGGAAATCCATCTAGGTGTTCACGGGAGGAGGACACGGCTGCGCCGCCTGGAAAGGCCCCGCCCGCGTCCCTGCTGTACTTTGTACCCGGGAGAGTTGGCGGGTCCCGGGGGGAGGCGAGTGTGAAGGCCTGGGCGAGCCGAGATGCCAACTCCTCTAAACCCACGGAGGGCTGGCCTTACAGCTGGCCAGACCTGTCTCCAGGAACAGCAGGACCACCTTCGAGTCCTTCCGTGAAATACCAGGCTTTCAGCCTTTGCTGAGGCCCCTGCACGTGTGACCCAGCTCTAGTTCACGTGCCCTAAATCTTTAAGACACAGAAATCGATGTAGACACTCCTAAAGTTTCTTCACTTCATTTAGGAATTGAACGGTTTCTGTGTAAAAAAAAGAACGGATGGTCGATTACCATGATTTTTAAGGACCTCCCCGACTCCTCAGGGTCCCTAGTCTAGGCTCCCTTGGGTTTTCCAGTCCAACGAAGGATCACTCCATCAGTTCCCCCGGTCCTTTTCAAGATCCCTTCAAGTCTTTATCTGGAACATGCGGGTTCCCAGGAAGACCTCCCCGAAGCAGACCAGAGCTGGGCCTCTTTCAAGCTTTAGCTTTGTCTCCAGTTTCTAGTTAGTTCCTGTTTCCTCCCAACTAGGCGGCACCCACTGTGCGATGTCTCAGCTTCTCTTCCCGTCACTACAGTTTACACTGCGGAGAGGCAAACTTCAAGAGAAACTAAACTCCTCACTGAGGTTATTTGTACCAGACAGCCCAGAAGGCAGAAATGGATGCAGAAACTGAAAAAAAAAAATCCTATTGCCCTCTTGCTTTATCTGAGTAATCATGTGCGTATATGTGTTTTAATTCTCAAAACTAAGTGCTTTTGAAAGGAAAAGAATAACTTTTGTAGTGTGTTGATTATAGCAATCAGAGATTACATACACCATGACAGAATCTCACAGGAATATGTGTAATGGACACTGAATTATTGATGAGAAATGTGCTAGGAAGGAATTTGAAATTTCATAAGGCCCAAGCTGTGTAATCCATTGCTTTATCTGAACAAATTACTTCATCTAAAGTGGGAGGTGGAATTCATGGCTAGTTGTATTTCATTTTCCTTAAAAGTACAGCACGTGTGGAGAAAAAAAACGAATGTTCATAAAAAAAAAAAAAAGGCTTTTTTTCTTGGAGATGCTTTTTACTAGCCAAGCCTCAAAATGGTTCAGATGCCTTTTTGCCAGTCACTGACTAAAGACACCTGGCTATTCCACAGGGGGGCTGACATTTCAATAGGCATCCTTTAGACAACTTGACGTGGATCCTGCTTGCTGCAGGGAGTGGGTGATGGGAGCCGGTAAAGCTCAGCTCTGTTGTCCGGAATCTCCTGAGTTCCTCTTTGCAGCCCATCTTAGGGAAATCTACCAGTGTAGTGGTCGCCTCATCTACAAAAGAAGAAAACGTTAGCTCTGACATGAGCATGCTTTTTTTTGTTTCTGAAGTGGTTTCTATGAGGAATTATTTATCCATAAAAAGAGATTGACAATGAGATACCACGTTACACCCACTAGAGTGGCTATAATAGTTTTTTAAAAAAGGAAAACAACAAATGTTGGCAAGCATGTGGAGAAATTGGAAGCCTTCTATGTTGCTGGTGGGAGTGAAAAACGATGCAGCAGCCTCGGAATGTTTGACGATGCCTCAAAAAGTTAAACATAGAACTTCCATGTGACCTGGCAATTCCACTCCGGGGTATTTACCCCCCAAAACTGAGAACAGGTGTTTCAACAAAAACTTGTGCACGAATGTTCATAGCAGCACTATTCGTAATATCCAAAAAGTCAAACAAGTCAAATATCCATCAACTGATGAATGGATAAACAAAATGTGGTCTATCCTCTCAAATAGATTATTCACCCACAAAAAGGAATGAAGTATGGATACACGCCACACTGTAGATGAACCGTGAAAACATTATGCAAAGTGAAAGAAGCCAGACACAAAGGGCACGTGTTGCGTGATTCCATTTATATGAAATATCCGGAAAAGGCAGATCCACAGAGATAATTATCAGCAGAGTAGGGGTTGGCAGGGGAGGGGTCGAGCATAGAGGGAATGGGGAATGACTGTCTAATGGGAATGGAGTTTCTTTTTCGGGTTATGAGAAAGTTCTGGAATTAGACAATGGAAGTGGCTGCACAGCACTATGAATGTACTAAAAGCCACTGAATTGAACATTTTAAAAATTGTTAAAATCATGAATTTTATGTCACGTAAATTTTACTTCAGTAAAAGGAGAGGGTGTGGTAGACAGGAGCCATGCAGTTGTGTATTTCTTAACATGGTACCTGTGGGCTACTCCGTGTACAGACAGAAACAGTTGAGCAAAAGCCGGCATTTCTGGGCTCAACAACGTGTGATGGGGTTGCAGCTGCTGTTAAATTATGTTCAGAGCAGGAGCCCAGGTAGGAACCTGCCTTCCCCTCAGACCCCAGTTTAATGTAAACATTTCCTTATGAAATAGGAACCCTAGTGTAGGCATGGGAGTGTGATAATGTGTAAAGAACAAGGCCCATGAGTCAGGACTCCACAATCTCCATGTCTTATTTAAAACCTTTTCTTTTTTTTTTTTAATTCATGTATCCAAATCCTTGGAAAACCTCAGGATAAGTTTGTTATCTCCATGACAGTTACTGGCCCTCCAGTCCTCCCTTCTTTGGTAACTATCTTTCCTATGCCTCTGTGATAGGACAGAAGAAAAAAGATGGCTTCCAAGAAGGGGAGAATGAAAAGTCCTCATTTAGGAAGTTGCTTATTCTTTTTTTTTTTTTTTTTTTTTGAGGAAGATTAGCCCTGGGCTAACATCTGCTGCCAATCCTCCTCTTTTTGCTGAGGAAGACTGGCCCTGAGCTCACATCTGTGCCCATCTTCCTCTACTTTCTATGTGGGACGCCTACCACAGCATGGTATGCCAAGTGGTGCCACCTCCCCACCCGGGATCCGAACCGGCGAACCCCGGGCAGCCAAAGCAGAACGTGCAAAATTAACCACTGCACCACTGGGCGGGCCCACAAGTTGCTGGTTCTTAAGTAGGCTTATTTTCTTCCCCCATCTCAATGCCCTCTGACAAGCTCCACTCGCCTGTGCTATCACGTGAGGTGCGCACTCTGAGTACTGTATTTATCACACTGTGCTGTGACTTTTTTGTATACTTGTCTGTCACCCTTCCTAAATCAGTAAGTTGGTTGAGAACAGAGGCTATATTTTATTTATCTCCATATCCCCAGCACACAGCACAGTTCCTGGACCAACACCTCCTTGTTTTATTTTTCCAAGGCATCCCATAGATAGTACCTTCTTTTCTTCTAACCCATAAGACGTAGATGCAAAGAAATGAACTTTGAGCCTCTTAAAAGAAAAGCTTTAACATCCATGTCACATCGCCATCTATAATAATTTCTTACTCATTTAAATCATGTCAAATCATTTCAATTTGCGTGTCCTATATCAACAATTATCATGCTGATGACTCATTCATTGATCATTCTTGGTCTTAGATTTCTTGGCAGAGGAAGGGCTCTGGAAAATGGGTAGTACATACTTTAGTAGCTAATGATGGTTATTTAAATAGTATCATGCAGTGTGAAAGCCATTATACGTGGAAGATCATTTCTTTTTAATTGCAATCCTGAGTCAGTTGGTTTGGTGGAATAATAATTATCAGGAGCTCAGACTCTGCTTCTGTCACAATCGTTACTAATGTGGTTTTTCCACTTGGAGCCTGTGGTGATCCTCCAATGAGCTCCTCTGCCCCGTGCCAGTGGTAAGGGGCTGGTTGGGGCCAGCGAGTAAAGGGAACACTTCCTGGAACACACTCTGCACCGTCATCATCATCAGCACTGTGTTTACAAACACTGGTCTGGGCAGATGGGCCCAAGCTGGGTATAAGGGGCGAGCACCACACAATATGTCCCACAGCAGAGTCAAGTGTCACTTAAGGACCGTCTGCCACGAGGCAGATAAAATTATGACAGTCTAATAAGAAAGTTGCCAGAGTACAAAGGGAGCTATAAGGCTGAGGACAATCCTGGACCTCGTACCCCAGGGATGCCCCGTGACCTCACGGTGTCCCTGGTAGCCCGTGGCTTACTTTATCACTGATCTCAGGAAACTTGCCCTAGCCCACCGCTATTGTCTCTTCTCTGAAAGAGCACAGCACAGTCTTTTTTGTGCTTTCAAGAAAGACACACAGGGTGCAACCACTCACATTTTCCCCTATAGATTCTCTACTGCTAAATAATATTTCTAAAAACAAGAATTTGACCCACACAGGAAAGTGTTCATTATTATGGATCGATAAACAAAAATAGAACAAAACTAGCCCCGTGTTACCTGTATTATTTGAATAATCCTTACCAGCGATACAGTTTTCTATAATGTGCTCTCCGTAAGTCAAGGATCTCAAGACCGATTACATTAGTTTCAAACAATTTTGTCAAAATCTTTTTTTGGCTTTTTTTTTAAGCGGAAACTACGAAAAATACTTTCAAAGTCACAAAACCATGTTTTTGGGTTTTTTTTTTTTTTGATGCCTCTATTGATGTTTGGTTTTGAGCAGAGTTTAAACACTTACAGCAAATCACCCATTCCTTGAGAAAGGGCTGTTCCTCTGGAGAGGGTTGCAGCTGTCAGTCAGCTTCACCAGCTAAGGGACAGTCCAGAGATCACAAAGGGCTGAGTGTGGGAAGGAAAGCCAGTTGGGTAGATGAAAGCTATGTGGCCATCTTTTATTTTTAAGATATACAAACTTTTATTTTTGATTAAAAACAAAAAGACATGTAATTAGAGAACGGTTTAAATCCCTGTAGCCATCATAACACCTGCCATCCTGATCCAGCCACTTTGTGCGCATTTTAAGGATGTCGAGGCAGGAGCCTAGCTACGTGCTCCATCGGCCGCAACACTGCTTTGTTTAGATGACATGAAGCAACTTACAGTATCCATCTTTTCTTCTTTGCACATTTAAGGTAGAATTGGCCAGTGTGGTTCTGTGTTGGACTCATCATTGACTTCTGCTGGGAGTAGGAAGAAGGGGGTGATGTCTGTGAGCTCTGGGCTTGGGACCACTGAGAGCGGTCCAGGAAGGGAATGCCTGGGTCGCCTGTCACTCTCTCCTCCTGAGGGCAGGCTGCCTCACGCTGACCAGCACTAGGCCTTGCCTCTCTTCGTTTTTCTCTACGCAGCACAAAATGGTCTTTTACCTTGTCCTAGCGGAAGCAGCCTGTGTGACAGCCTAACCCGTTCCTGTCAGATGAGGGAAGTAAGACGATAGCACAGGCCAGGTGGGACCACCTGGCCTGATTAGGAAGTCACCATTCTTTGTTGACTGCCTGGCTGAGCCAAAATTTCACTTTTTACACAATTAACCAAAGCATTGGTTTCTGAGTACTATAGCCTATTATTTTTTAAAGAATTCTTCATGGAAGTAAAATTCAGACTATAGTAGAATAGATAATTCTGTAGCTGTACTGTACGTGGTCATATTTTTGCCCCCATTTCTTAGTGAAAAGGACCTGAAAATTAATAGCAGAATTCCGCTCTGTACGAATAATTCT